GCTCTGGTCCAGAGATCCTTAAAAACTGGCCAAATGTCACTTACCGCATTTAGTTCAGAATACTACGTTTTTATTATCAGGATGAATAAATGTACATGTGTGCAAATTTTCTAATCGATTCGATTATTATTATTGAAATTATGTGCCAGTGAATTCTGAAAATTGAATACAAATTATGACTAGTTACTTGAGTCAAATTGCTTTCCTTGTGTAATATGCTTCTATTCTCCAATATTTCGGGTGTTCATTCTTTATGAGAATAGTGTGTAGAATGTAAATAAGTTATAATTAACTTAAAGAATGTACATGGCTTTACCATAGATACAAGGTTTTGCTAGTTTTTTCAATTTTCTCAAATCCGATAATCCTTTCAATTTAAATCTCCCCGAAGCTCCGCTTCAGAATTAGATTTTCTGAATAACATTGTAATTGTATATTAATAAACTTTTATATTTACTGCTACCAGCTGCTCCTTTTCATTTTAAGAAAAGATATGGACTGATTAAAATTTTAAACGCGTTTGTGCAACACGACTCGTGCCGCGGTCGCCCGCTCACCCTTAGGACTTGAACACAAAGATTGTCGTAGCGTTTCCGATGGAGTCCTGAACATATATGGGTGTCACAAGTCAACTTATAAGGATTGACGTAAAATCGCAGAAGCAATGCGATGAATGCACAACCCAGTGAGAAATGATTCGTCGATCGACGTCGAAAAGACGACGTCGAATCGACATCGACACCGTCGAATTGGCGTCGATTCGACATCATTTCGACGTCGATCGACGAATCATTTCTCACTGGGAATGCGATGAATGACAATTCTTTTACGTCAATCGTTGTGCGTTAACTTTCCGACTTATGTTTACGATTTCGTCGAAAACAGTTACGACAATCCTTGTGCTTAGGATCTATAAATTGCCAGATTGAAATCGCGACCGCTTATACGAAAATCATGTGGTGGGGATAAGTATGTCTTCTGTGCGCGCGCATCCCCACCACTCGATACTCAGATGAACGGCCGCGGACCGGCGCGCGGCGATCTCCATCTAGCAACTCTGCAACTAAGCATGCATCGCGTCGGGTTCTCTCGCGTAAAAAAAACTGCACTTTGGCTACGGTTGACTTAACTGCAAACACGAATGCCAAAACAATCTTTTATATATACGTACAAAATTCTAGCAAATTATTTTATATAGAAATACAAGTATATACATATTGCGCTCTACACTTCTTTAAGCCTCCCGCGCGCTCTACTTTCATTAAATATTCAGCGCTCTCCGCGCTCCATCATCGTGCTTTTCACATCCATTGGACTCTATTCAAAGTACTCATTCTTCTTAAAAGGCAAGATTTGTTTCATCTTTAGCAGGTCCAGGTGTGCTATTCCGCTTCAGCAATGTTTCTTTCAAAGCGAAAAGTATTACAATTGCTTTTTAGCGTGCCTGAATCTAATAGTATAAATTATGTAGTTTCCCACATTCTTGAACAGCTTAATCTGAAACTCAGTGACGTTGATGCCTCAAAAATAAATGTGTTAAAAAAAGCAATCGGAACTTTGAGAAGCAAAAGAAACATAAAATGGAAACTTGCAAAAAGAGTTAACGATAGATTTGAGTTACAAAATAAAAAGTGGTTAGATTCTGAATTTTGTGTAGCATATTTGAATTCTGACACTCAATCTCAAACTCCTCAAAGGCAATGTTCAGGTCGTCCGAGCATAGAATTCAATCAGAAGTCCAACAGATCTAAGAGACGCGAGGCAGCTCAGATCAGTAATAAAAATCAAAATAATCCTATAAGCCTTCTGATGGCTTGTCGATATGCAGCAAGATTAACCGGCGAAAAAGATTTGTCTGCTGTTCTGAACGAACTTTGTAAAGATTCAAAAAAAGTTGCACATTTAATACAAAATGTAGGAAATACAACTTCAATTGTAAAAATGACTTCAGAAGAAGCTCTGGGATATTTGCTGGATCATAATATGTCGAAACGTGATTATCAGAGTATGAGATTACTCGTAAAGTCCAGAAATGCAGACATATTTCCATCATACAATGACATATTAGCCGCAAAGTCAAAGTGTAGACCAAATCCGCAGTTTGTAAAGATCAGTGAGACTTCGGCTGAAGTTTTATTACAGGGTTTGCTCGATCACACGACAGAAAGAATTTTGCAACTGCAAGACAAACCTATACTGCAATTTATTGAACAGAGTAACGCAAAAGATATTGAAGTTGTTTTAATATGTTCCTGGGGTTTTGATGGCAGCTCAGGACATTCAGCCTATAAACAAAATTTCAATAATAAAGATACGATCATAAATGATGAAAATATATTTGCAACTTCGTTGATACCGTTACGCCTCTGTACTTCTGGTAATATTATATTGTGGTCCAATAGAGCTTCTCAATCTGTTAGATTTTGCCGTCCGATAAAATTGGAGTATAAAAAGGAGTCGATTGATGTTATTCTGGCCCAAAAGCGTTCAGTGGAAGATCAAATAGATAGTTTACAATGTTTTCAAACAGTAATTAAAGACTGCACTGTGAAAGTACATTTTTCGTTATTTCTTACTCTCATAGATAGAAAAGTCTTAAATGCAATTACTGGTACAAAGTCCACGCAGACTTGTTCTATGTGCAAAGCGAAACCCACAGAATTTAATAATCTCTCAAATACATTTATACCTGATCCGAAATCATTGCAATATGGCTTAAGCCCATTACATTCATGGATTCGATTATTTGAGTGTAGTTTGCATTTATCATACAGACTTCATATTAAGGTTTGGCAAGTAAGAACTTCCGAGCATAAAATTGCACTTGCAGAACGAAAGAAGGAAATTCAAAATATTCTTTGGGAAAGGCTAGGACTCATTGTGGATAAGCCAAAAACAGGTGGAAGCGGTAACACAAATGATGGAAATACGGCTCGTCGTGCTTTCGCGAAGCCGGATGAATTGGCCGAATATCTTGGCCTCGATAAACAATTGATGAGGAATTTTAAAACAATACTAATTGCTCTCTCTTGTCATCTTCCTATTGATCCATCACGTTTTGATGCACTATGCAAATCCACGGCAAGCATTTTTATTAATGCTTATCCGTGGTTCAATATGCCTGCTTCGGTGCATAAAATTTTAATGCATGGTGCAGATGTAATTAGAAATACCGTTCTGCCGATTGGAATGATGGGAGAAGAAGCTTCGGAGGCTCGAAATAAAGATTACCGAAAGTTTAGAGCCGATCGCTCCAGAAAACACAATCGGATTGTCAATATGGAGGATGTTTTTTATAGATTAATGGATACATCGGACCCGTTAATATCCAATATCAATTTAGACACTAGGATTCATAATGTAGCAAAAACACTGCTTCCTCAAGAAGTTCGAAATTTACTTATGATTCCTGAAGAGGTCAAATCGGATATTGACTCAGATCCAGACTCTTCAGACGATGTCGATGCCACTGAACTTGCAGAATTTGAAAACCTCTTAAATGAGGTTGAACTGTCTGATGAAGAGGAATAAGATTTATTCTAAAACATATAATCAAGCAACCCGAACAGTGAGAGGCGAGGGGACTCACTACAATCAAGCACCCCGAACAGTGAGAGGCAAGGGGACTCAC